CGCCCGCAAAGCTCAGGAAATATCGAGAGACAACATCGCACGATGAAGAACGCACTTTATATGTTATGCGAAGACAGAAACTGTGAATGGACAGATGTTCTAGAATCTGTCGTTTTCGTCCATGAATGCCACGACCAACAGCGCCACCGGTGTCTCCCCAAGACTATGCCATTACCGGCCGTCACCCCAACATCGGCCTACCTACACTACACAGAAAAGAAATCACAAGCGACGATCCTGGAACATATGGAATGCAAATTAATGCCCTGCTAAAGCAGGTTCACCACCATGTCACCCTGGCCAACGATGAAGCTGACCACAAACTTGAGACTAACTTAAATCGCCTCACATACAAGGATCCAATACAAGTAGGCGACAAGGTTTTACTTCATTGGCCACACTCAACTGTTGCCCAATCCTCTCATCTGCCCTGGATAGGAAATTACACCATTATAAAAACAAACAATATGATGTGTCAGGTGCAAAATGATGATGGTGATTCAATCTGGATTCACCATGCACATATCCGACGACTGGCTCCACGCCCAACAGATCTTTCTAATACAATCCCTCTGCCTCCACCATGTAACAGTCACCAGGATCATTCTCCTCCACATCCCTCGGGGACACATAATTCAGCAAATAACCCAATACCAAAACAAATGCCAACAAGAAGAACACGAGGACAACTTCCCACACGCTTTCGTATTTCTTTCTTGCAACCATACGCTTGTCTATAACAAAAGTGAGGGAGATAACCAAGAACAGAGAATTCAGTGGAAGAGATTGAAGAGTTCAGATTAGTTTCACAGAGAGATAAGATATCTGGAGAACGTTCCAAGAGAAATGATTCTGCAATGCAGAAATTGGTACAAATACCACAGACGTTAGAGAAAGAAACGTTGACAGGCTTTGGTGTTTTTTTGTTTATACTACAAATATTTTATTACTTTAAAGGATTTTAGTGGATTTGAATTGGCAGAAGCATGTCGGATCTAATGATGGTTCCTTCTGGGGTGGGGAAGCAGGTTTGAATCCCTGTGGGAGAGCACACATATTTCTTTAATAAGATTTCTTGAACATTCAGGTTAATAGATAATAAATAAATAAATGTATTATTTAATAAATAAAGAGAGCACCTTCTCAAATATGAGTATCCACTAAAAATAATGTTTAAAATGATAAAATCTGTTGGATTAATAAATAAAAAATCCATTACTTCTTTAGAAATATTACAAATAAATATAAAATAAACACACACGGTTTTATTTAAAAATCAATTACCTATAAACATGTTTGGGAAGGGTCACTTTTGTATTGTATATTTTAAAATTAGCTATTTATACAACCCTTGATATTACAGAGAACATTTATTAAATAACTTTCTTTCACTTTAATGATTGCATAGTAATACAACAAATTCTGTTAGTAGAGGAAAACAAAATGAAACAATTGTAGTTTGTGTCTCACCCCAGATCATATGAGAATAGACTAACAGTGTGACATCAGTGAAAAAGCCAGGTGCACCAACGGGTTAGCGTGACAGATGACCTTTTTGATCAAGTACAAATCTACATTTCACAGTATATCAGTGGCTGCCCTGACGTTTGAGTATGTAATGGACATGTGTGGAGGTGGTTGATTAATCTGTTTTTTTATGTTTTATCAACCTTTTGTAGGTTATTTAAGCTGAAACATATTTTGGATTGTAAGAATAATTCTGTTTTTTCTTTGTGCAAGTGAATATTGCATGACCAATGAGATGAAAGTGATTTTTTCAAATATAAATTCTACTATTTAACCCCCAGCTGAGGGGGGAGAGAAGAGATGGATTTGTACCTTTCCTAAAAGTATTTGCATGTAGTAAGTAAATGTAATAAACACAACTGGAATTCAAACTCAGGTCTCTAAAGAAATATAAGACAGATTATATATATATATATATATATATATATATATATATATATATATATGGGATAACAATATATACATTTTTATATATCAAGAACAGTTTTGAACAAAGTAGAAAAAATTTCATGTGAGGTGTTTCGACCCTTATGACTTCATTTTGACATAAAAAATGCTACTCTAATGAAAAGAGAAAATAATTCACTAAGTAAAAAATATTTAGAAAGTGCTTTAAATGCTAGTTTGTCTACAGTAAATTTGCGTCCAGGTTTCTACATTTCACCATTTTTGGCAGATCTTCTCTTATCAAAATGTGGGACATTTAATAACAAAGATGATGGAAACAAAAAGAAAAAGAACCTAAATGAAATTGGATAGATTATAGACCAAAAACACATTATTTAAAAAAAGAAAAGGAAAAAAAAAAAAAACCCCAAAACACATTATTTAAAAAAAAAAAATTTTCAAAAATATTTTCAAAATTTAAAATTGCCAGTATCTCTCATTCATGCACATGTATAGTCGCATCAACATAAACAAACTGTTGTATCTCAGGTTTTCAGGATAACAGAGGGAAATAAATAAGGAATACAAACTCATAGGTAAGTAATAATATAGAAGGTTTACTACATAAAGGTACACTTAGCAATTGACCTAATGCTAACTCCACTTATTTACATAATGGATGATTCCATTCATTTATGTCCTATATGACACAAACCTAGTCCTAAGAAGCAAAACAAACACCTTACACAAAAACACACACACACACACATATATATATATATATGTAAATAACAAACACCAAACTCCGAGGAAGAACTTTAATGATTTATTTTTTATGGCTTATCAACACTTTGTAGGTTATTTAAAGCCAAAATATATTTTGTATTGCCAAAATAATTTTTTTTTGCATTAAATATTTTTAGGAGATAACAAGGATTTTTCCAGATGATGAAAATATTGCAGTTCTATTTTATTGTCACTTGTATTTCTATATCAAAGTTTCAGCTTTGCCCACTGACTTTACCCTTACTCTACTACTTGTTTAGTTTGAGTCATTTTTTACATTTACAAATATTTCTAGCAGCAGTGAAATAAATTTTGATGATTAAGCAACAAATTTTGAAATTTTATTGACCCAAAATTTGTTTAAACAAGTTCCATCACTCAAACAGTATGCTACACATAAAAATTTAAAAAAGGGATTATGAAATGGTTTTACTATATTAGGCAAACTCGCTTAATGTAACAGCCACATATGATAAAATTCAGATGTTTGAGATCCTTAAGACATGAGCAAAATTTATACATACATTTTTGTTACATACATATTAACATTAAACTTATGTTTTAATTCAAATTATTTATATGTTGTTCATTGAAAATCAAGAAAAAAAGGATTATCAGTGGTCAGGAATAGAAGTAAACTTTGTTGTCAAAATAGAATTAATTTTTTACTACAGAAAATTATTGCAAATAATTTTACTACAGAAATTATTTGTATATTGTGCATTGAAAATCAGGAAGAAAAAGATTATCAAAAATTAAAGCAAACAAGCATTACTGACAAAATAAGACTACCATATTGTTAACGTAAATACATCACTAATGATTTTTTAATAGAAATACATTGACAACCAGACTGGAGAATCTTATGATACGTATTTTATTCTCATCAGGATCTGACTGGATTCTTTGAGCATCAGCTCAGGATGAACGTCATAACTGATAGAACGCATTTGCTATCAGCAGTTTTCAGCAAAATGGGTGAAAGTTGCAAGCCTGGTTCGTGTGAACGGAACCAACCTTGATTCCCATTCTTAGTCTCCTTTCATCCTCTCATTAAGCTAAGACTCTTTTCATTCTCCTAAAAACTAATGTGAGCGATTACTGTTCCTCACATTCTCTTTTGTTATGGTCCATGTCAAGATTCCCAATCTCTCCAGATTGTTTTTATCCCCTTTTTATATTGACTGGGCCAGCTTTTGATTTTCCCCACTCCACACTTTATTTTGTCCATCTCTCACTTTAGTGACTGAGCGTCTTGATTTTGCCTATTAGCAGAATACAATGGTCACTCTTATTTTTCTGTGGGTTGGACAGGTCCTACTAACATAGTTTTGTTTTAGTTTGAATATTTTGTTTTTTACTTTTATTACTGAGATCATTCCCCTACTCCCCTTCTTTGATGATACATAATTTTATATATTTTTGTAAGAAAATGAGGAAAATAATAAAAAATTGTAAATATCCATAAATTTTTACATCATGAAATTTTAGTAGGTTCCCTTGTGAGTATGTGGTATTTTGGTAAATGTAGGATTGGGTGAAGAGAGATGTATTCTTGTGGTGAATGAGTGGATGGATGGCTGGCCACTCGTCTACTAGGATGGCTAGTCAATCCCTGTTGCGAACACCTGCTCAAGCACATTTGTCTTTGTTCAACACCCACAGAGCCATAGGTGGTTTATACTACAACTATGCTGAGCGTACCTTAGTTACAGTTTCTGAGAGAGAGCACGTTATCTACTGTGTTCAACAGTCTGAACAAGGCCAGCACACTCAAATCTTCGTTCACGATGACTTTTGACTTCATGCTAGCACAACCATCGACAGCTCCCAAAGGGTTCTGTCTATCCAACTTCATTCAGAAGGCTTGGGTCAACCTGTGGCATAGTTTTCAGGCACTTTCCAAAGGTGCTGCATACTGGCATTGTCTCTTCTGGACCGATATGATCAAGAAATCACTTTCTTGACCAACTGACCACAGTGAGATTCAAACCCTGGTCTCATAGTCAGAAAGTAAATGCTCTAACCACTCGACCACAGGAATGAGTAAATAGTAATGAATGAATGGGTCTCAAATCAGATTAACTAGTTTTAGGATAGTCAGCGACAACCAGCCTCACTCCACTTCCCTTTCAGCTTTGTGCTACAATTGTATTTAAAGCATAATAACTATACAGAAAGAAAGATACTGTGATTGTCAGGAATGTGTTACTGACAGAACAGGGTTAAATTGTTTCATTGACATGATATATTACATTACAATAATCTAGGATGAAGAAACAAATGCATGGCATACTTACATTCTGTAGTTATCTATTTCTGCTTGCTTTTCTCGTAAGCGCTGCTGAAAATGCATTCGTAATTCTGCTTGTGATTTGTCAAATTCAGCCAATTGTCTGCGACATTCATCTTCTCTTATTTTTCCCTCACTCAGCTCCACGTTGGCAACATTCAACTTTGCACTCAAATCTGCAGATAATAAATTAATTGAAAATTGCATATCGTTTTCAAATCATTGTTGCAATTAATTAATAATTTTTGATTTGTCTTTACTTTCCTAAAGTTTAAAATACACATTTATCCATTGAGAAATGAAATCCCATCAATATGTGTAGCATGCCAGGAGCTGTATACAGTTAGGCACATAATGTTGCAATGTTACAGTTTCTGGGAAAACCACAACAAATATTAAACAACAAACAACCTTAGAGAACTTTTTGAAAACATTAAACCAGATAACATACTGCAATTTGTCAAAAACATTGGATTTTACAATAAGATAGAAAAAAGTATTTATACGTGTTTACACAAACAATAAACTTATCTTCAATCATTCTTGACAAAGAATAAAACTTGTTTTCAAAAATAACTGACAGACAATAAAACTTCTTTACCATACTTGGAAATATTTTCTTCAAGCATATTTAACAAACTATAAAATCTTCCTGCAACCACATGTAACAATCTATACAGTTTTCCTTCAGCCATACTAACAAACTATAAAATTTTCCTTCAACCATACTAACAAACTATAAAATTTTCCTTCAACCATATGTAAAAATCTATAAAATTTTCCTTCCACCACACGTAACAATCTATACATTTTTCCTTCAACCATACTAACAAACTATAAAATTTTCCTTCAACCATACGTAAAAATCTATAAACTTTCCCTTCAAACATACGTAACAAACTATAAAATTTTCCTTCAACCATACGTAACAATCTATATAGTTTTCCTTCAACCATACGTAACAAACTATAAAATTTTCCTTCAACCATATGTAACAATCTATAAAATTTTCCTTCAACCATACATAACAATCTATAGTTTTCCTTCAATCATACGTAACAAATTATAAAATTTTGCTTCAAGTATACATAACAATCTATAAAATTTTCCTTCAGCCATATGTAACAAACTATAAAATTTTCCTTCAACCATACATAACAATCTATAGTTTTTTTTCAACCATACATAAAAAAATATAAAATTTTCCTTCAACCACACGTAACAATGTATAAAGTTTTCCTTCAGCCATATGTAACAAACTATAAAATTTTCCTTCAACCATATGAGACAAACTATAAAATTTTCCTTCCACCATACATAACAATCTATAAAATTTACCTTCAACCATACATAATAATCCATAAAGTTTTCCTTCAGGTTTATGTAACAAACTAAAAACTTTTTCTTTAACCATACGTAACAATCCATAAAATTTTCGTTCAGCCTTATGTAACAATCCATGAAGTTTTCATTCAGCTATACATAACAAACTATAATGTTTTCCTTCAACCATACGTAATAATTTATAAAGTTTTCCTTCAACCATACGTAACAATTTATAAAGTTTTCCTTCAACCATACGTAACAATTTATAAAGTTTTCCTTCAACCATACGTAACAATTTATAAAGTTTTCCTTCAACCATACGTAACAATTTATAAAGTTTTGCATCAGCCATATGTAACAAACTATAAAATGTTCCTTCAACCATATGTAACAATCTATAAAATTTTCCTTCAACCACACCTAACAATCTATAAAGTTTTGCTTCAGCCATACGTAACAAACTAAAAAATTTTCCTTTGACCATAAGTAACAATCTATAAAGTTTCCCTTCAACCATACAAAGTTTTCCTTCAGGTTTATATAACAAACTATAAAATTTTCCTTCAACTATACATAACAATCTATAAAATTTTCCTTCAACCACACGAGACAAACTATAAAATTTACTTTCAACCATATGTAACAATCTATAAAATTTACTCTCAACCATAAGTAACAATCTATAAAGTTTTTCCTTCTACCATAGATAACAATCTATAAATTTTGCTTCAGCCATACGTAACAAACTATAAAATTTTCCTTCAACTATACATAACAATCTATAAAATTTTCCTACAACCATACGTAACAATTTATAAAGTTTTGCATCAGCCATATGTAACAAACTATAAAATGTTCCTTCAACCATATGTAACAATCTATAAAATTTTCCTTCAACCACACCTAACAATCTATAAAGTTTTGCTTCAGCCTTACGTAACAAACTATAAAATTTTCCTTTGACCATACGTAACAATCCATAAAGTTTTCCTTCAACCATATGTAACAATCTATAAAGTTTCCCTTCAACCATACAAAGTTTTCCTTCAGGTTTATATAACAAACTATAAAATTTTCCTTCAACTATACATAACAATCTATAAAATTTTCCTACAACCATACGTAACAAGCTATAAAATTTACCTTCAACCATACATAATAATCCATAAAGTTTTTCTTCAGGTTTATGTAACAAACTATAAAATTTTTCTTTAACCATACGTAACAATCCATGAAATTTTCGTTCAACCTTATGTAACATTCCATAAAGTTTTCCTTCAACCATACATAACAAACTATAATGTTTTCCTTCAACCATACGTAACAATCTATAAAATTTTCCTTCAACCATACGTAACAAACTATAAAATTTTCCTTCAACCACACATAATTATCTATAAAGTTTTCCTTCAGCGATATGTAACAATCTATAAAATTTTCCTTCAACCATACAAGACAAACTATAAAATTTTCCTTCAACCATACGTAACAAACTATAAAATTTTCCTTCAACCATACGTAACAATCTATACAGTTTTCCTTCAACCATACGTAACAAACTATAAAATTTTCCTTCAACCACACGTAACAATCTATAAAGTTTTCCTTCAGCCATATGTTACAAACTATAAAGTTTTCCTTCAACCATACGTAACAATCTATAAAGATTTCCTTCAGGTTTTGTAACAAACTATAAAAATTACCTTCAACTATATGTAACAATCTATAACGTTTTCATCAACCATACGCGACAAACTATAACATATTCCTTCAACCAAACGTAAAATCTATAAAAATTTCCCTTGAACCATACGTAACAAACTATAAAATTTTCCTTCAGTTATACGTAACAATGTATAAAGTTTTGCTTCAGCTATATGTAACAAACTATAAAATTTTCCTTCAATCATACGTAACAATCTATAAAGTTTTCCTTCAGGTTTATGTAATAAACTATAAAATTTACCTTCAACCATACATAACAATCTATAAAATTTTCCTTCAACCACATGAGACAAACTATAAAATTTACCTTCAACCATATGTAACAAACTATAAAATTTACCCTCGACCATACGTAACAAACTAAAAAATTTCCTTCAACCATATCTAACAATCTATAAAGTTTTCCTTCAACCATACGTAACAAATTATAAAATTTTCCATCAACCATGTATAACAATCTAAAAATTTTTGCTTCAGCCATATGTAACAATTTCTTTCAACAATGCATAACAATCTATAAAATTTTCCTTCAACCATACGTAACAAAGTATAAAATTTTCCTTTAACCATACATAACAATCTATAAAGTTTTCCTTCAACCATATGTAACAAACTATAAATTTTTCCTTCAATCATACATAACAATCTACAAAATTTTCCTTCAACCATACAAGACAAATTATAAAATTCTCCTTCAATCATCTGAGACAAATTATAAAATTTTCCTTCAACCATACATAACAATCTATAAAATTTTTTCAACCACACATAACAAACTATAACATTTTTCTTCAAATATATGTAACATTCGATACAGTTTTCCTTCAACCATATGTAACAAACTATAAAATTTTCCTTCAACCATACGTAACAATCTATAAAGTTTTCCTTCAGCCATATGTAACAATCGATAAAATTTTCCTTCAACCATACATAACAATCTATAAAATTTTTCTTCAATGATACGTAACAAACTATAACATTTTCCTTCAACCATATGTAACAATCAATACAGTTTTTTCTTCAACCATACATAACAATCTATAAAATTTTCCTTCAGCCATATGTAACAATCTATAAAATTTTCATTCAACCATACAAGACCAATTATAAAATTATCCTTCAACCATACGAGACAAATTATGAAATTTTCCTTCAACCATACATAACAATCTATAAAATTTTCCTTCAATCATACGTAACAAACTATAACATTTTCCTTCAACCATATGTAACAATCTATAAAGTTTTCCTTCAACCATACATAACAAACTATAAAATTTTCCTTCAACCGTACATAACAATCTATAAAGTTTTCCTTCAACCATATTGTTACACCGGCCTCTAACACAAGGGAATTACACCAGTTCTCACTATATATATAGTGTCAGTAGTACCTACCCGAAGGAGCAGTGACAGTACTACACTGCCTAACTGAGTAGTACCCGTTTCCTACCTTTGTATCTGTGATGTTAAATACACTTGTTCCTTAACCCAACTTCGACTTGATTTTCTTATTTTACTATTGTGCCACGACACAACACATATGTAACAAAGTATAAAATTTTCCTTCAACCATACATAACAATCTATAAAATTTTCCTTCAATCATACAAGACAAATTATAAAATTTTCCTTCAACCATACGAGACAAATTATAAAATTTTCCTTCAACCATACATAACAATCTATAAAATTTTCCTTCAACTATACGAGACAAACTATAAAATTTTCCTTCAACCATATGTAACAATATATAAAGTTTTCCTTCAACCATACATAACAAACAATACCATTTTTCTTTAACCATACATAACAAAATATAAAGTTTGCCTTCAACCATACATATATTTTAAACTTTACATCAGAATAAACAGTTTGTCATCCATTACAAGAGAAGCTACATTTGTACAAAGACTTATAATTTTTTGTAGATTTATATATTTTTATGGAAACCAAATAGTGGATGTGAGCACAGTTAGGCAGTGAGTAATGCTATCAGTGAAAAAGTGTGCCATATTTGCTAGTGCTGCATGCATGCTCTAGTTCATTGGCAGTGAAACAAGTTTTCAGCTAAAAAATATTTTTTCCACATAGCAGATGTGGAAAAAATATTTTGTAGCTGAAAACTTTCTCTATCCAGCATTGTTATTGTACTCCTTCTATCAGCTGCAGTTTCCATGGAAATAAATAGGAGGCATTACTTTCGGATCCTTGCAAATTATTAAATTGTGATTACAAATCAAAATAATATGACAAATTATAAGTATGGCTGAAGCAGTTGAATATTATTTGCCAAATAATATCTATGGGTTATACAATGGGAAATAAAATGATCTGTCCGAATTTAAGTTTGAATCTTGTTTATTCTTTAAGTAACTTGAATATTTGAATCATATCTTCAACATGGCTGTGAGAATATAAAATAGTTTTTAATGTTTTTCAAAAATTCTTCATTTAATTTAGGAAGAAATTTAATTTTTTTAATCAATAATTCAATTGTAATATTTTCAAATTAGAATTGATCTTTCTGGGTAATAATGGATGTCAGAAAATTTAATGATTAGAAATAAGTATTTAAAAAATATGTACACCAGATCATATGAAAACATTAGAATTGAGGTGTGAGAGCTAAAAGTGATTTAATCGAAGGGAGATAATCTTTGTTGAAATTTTAAAGAGTTTGTTTTCAGTGGAATGCTGACCACACCAAACAGCTGTTATTTTATATCTTGTAACTTCTACAATCAATAGTTTGAATGTACTAAAATAAATTTTTAACTTTTATTGATTACTGATGCATCTTTGAATGTTCCATCTCAAAATAATTATAGGTGGATTTTTTTTTAATGAATGAGATATATATCTATACACATGATATATATCTATATATACATATGTTTCATTAAAAACAACTGACAAGATATAGCAGTTAAGTTTTTTATTTAACTTTTCTGGTTATCATATAATTTTTTTTCTTTTCTGGACATAGAATGTAGAAATTGTCCAAAATGTTTTGTATGTCCAAGTACTTTCAACTATTCTTTTAGCCATTATCAAGGATGATTTTATGTCTTACTTTTAACTGAATGTATGGATTTCTTTTATGTATGTATCTAGAGTTATAGGAATGCTTTTATTTTCTAAACACTGTCAGCACACCGTGGCTGTGTTCATAATTGATGTTATTGAGAGTTGGCTTTGTTTTTATTATTATTAATGCTTCCAATATTCTTAGTCATTTTTTACATGTGGATGAGACTATTATATTTGTATTTTCTGCAGGTGAGTTGGAGTTTGGTAGGTCTTCATGTGTGTTTAAATGAGACTTAATTGAGCTATGGACAGAGAGATGTAACATGAGTATTCTTGATAGGTGTGTAGTTGTATGTCCAATATAATTATTCATAAATTTGATTTGATCAGAAACACAGTCCCTTAAAGGACATATGAATTCATAAATAATATTAGGTTCTCTGTAATTTGAAAATTGCAGGTGAGTTGTTCTTGTTGATGATAGGTTAGCAGTTTAAAATTTTTTATAGTAGATAATTTCATATTCTTGTTTTTGTTGACTGGAGTTGTATATTTCTCTATGTTTCTAAGGAAAGATTCAACCTGTTTGATGTTAATGTTAATCCTTTTATTTGTATGTTCAGTGTTGCTGTTGATTATCTTAGAAAGTAAAAGTCTAATTTGGTGATCTGTGAGGTAATTCAGAAAACTGTTATTAACTAGTGTCTGTTTCATGTTGTTAAGTTCTTTAAAGTAAAGCAGACAAGAGGATGAATTCTTGTGTGCTCTCATGAGGAATATCTTTATAATGACTATTTCATATCTAAGTAGACATTCAGTAGTAAAATTAATGTGGCAAGTGTTTCTACTTGTGAGTTTTATGTATAATGAACTAGTTAATGTATTATTACTATACTCCAAATGAACATCCAAGAAAAGAAAAAAATTATACAATCACAAGAAAAATTAAATAAAAAACTTAAACACAGTACTTTGTCAGTCATTTTTTAATGAAATTTGTATAAAAGAGGGATTGCTGCACAAATACATATATATATATATATATATATATATATATATATATATATATATATATAAAAGAAATATAGTCTTAATATGTGCTATATTTATGGGATAAAGTGCTCAATATCAGAGATAGAGCATGTGTAAATATAAAGTGAACATAGAAGTCAACATTTAGGCGACAGCCTGTTTCATGCTAGGCGCAATCGTCAGGTAGCCTGACGATTGCATCCAGCATGAAACAGACTGTCGCCTCTAAGTGTTGACTTTATGTTCACTTTTATATTTATTATATATATATATATATATCGGACATAGAGTGCTGGTGTTAATAAAACGGTGCCCAATGTAATAATAATAGAGTTATTATATATATATATATATATATATTGTTATGGGGTTCACCCTTTTTCATACAAGTGGACTCGACACGAGTGTACTTGAACTGCTGCCGTTAAATACCCAGAGTCAGAGTCAGTAAGGGATGGAGATTGTGATTGAGTTGGAGGTAGAGTAATAGTGTGAGGTAACCGCTTATAGAAGTTACAGTTACAAGCACGTAGACTCTAAGGAAGTCCTACTTCGAGACTGGATTTACCAGACTGTCTATATATATATTATTATTGCTACTAACCGTGTTTCTGGATTTACTAACAGTATTACCCATTGTATTATTGTGTAAATACATTTATTTGTTATATTTAATTTCTGCGTTTGTCATTCATTGGAGACCGAATTTCATCTCGGAATCCACAACATATATATAAATTTTTATATATCAAGAACAATTTTCGAGGAAAGATGTATGAATAAGAGGAAAAAGTTTTCTTGTGATGCATTTCGTTCTTTAGGACTTCATCAGACTAAGTTTGTTTCCATTGATGCGATTACACATGTTCATGAACGAGAGACACTGAGAATTTTAAATTTAAAAAAAATAATTTATTTGTTTTCTTTTGGGTATAAAAACTAGCCAATTTCATTTAGCTTCTTTTTCTTTTTGTTTCCATGATCTTTGTTATTAAATATTCCACATTGTGATAACAAAAGGTCTGCCAAGAATGGTGAAATGTTGTAAGAACTTGGCCACAAATTTACTGTGGATGCTTTAATCATTAGTTCATCCATAGTAAATTTGCGGTCAGGTTCTTACATTTCACCATTCTTGGCAGATCTTCTGTTATTACAATGTGGTAAACAAACAGAATTTTTAGAATAGCTTCTTCTTTTTTTTTTTAAATGAAAACTACAAGTATCCACTAAAAATAATGTTAAGAGTGATAAAAAATCTGTCGAAGTAATAAAAAAAAATCTATTTTTTAAACTTCTCTTTGCTTATGTTTGGATATGAAACTGTGCAGATCTGAAAATCTTCAAGATATCTATGATGAGAGAAATTTAAGGCACAAAATTTGTCCCATCTGATCAACTGCTCTTTGTGGCTACATTAGTTAAGGCATGCCAGGTTTAATGGTAGCTCACTCTGCTCTGAGGGACACAGGTTCAAGTCCTGCTGAAGAGTGCAAGTTTTTCTTTAATAAGGATTTCTCAAATATTCAGGCAGGTAAACAAAAATAAATATACTGTTTAGTAAATAAACAAACAGTCAAGGCATCCAATTACAGACAATAGGTTTACAGCTCCAGAATTTCAGCATGATATGCTTCACTAGGCACATGGCCCACTGGATTAGTGTTGGAAAAATATGCCTGGCTCCCTGGCTGCTGTGAGTTCAATCTCTGAGTCAGGTAGAAAAGTCACATACTCTGATTCAGTGGAAGAAATGGACAAAAGTAAATAAGACTGGTGAGTATGAAGAACAAAATGAGAACAAATGGCTCCCATGGACCAAATAAAGGATTCAGTTCAATGCAGAAAGATAGACATTAGTTTTATTGTTGTTACTATAACAACCAAGCATGCTGGTTTAAATAGCAAAACATATAATAATTACTCATTTCTGTTGCTAAGAAATAATTTTATTAGAAAAAGAAAGGAATTATAGAATCCCAACCTTTAACCATAATTTCAAGGCGATCAAGTTCCTTGTCTCTTTGAGAAATCAATTGGATGTTGTATTCAAAAAACTCTTTCAGTTTTGAATATTTTTTCTCAAGGGATTCCAGTTTGGTTGTTTTTTCATCACATGATTTTTCTAAAGCTTGCACTCTGAAAAAAAAAAAAGAAAGAAAAAAAGGTAAATATTTGTAAATAAAACTTAATTAGAAATTAATTTAGAAAAAAAAAATTGATTTTGTTAATTTAAAGGTCTTAATAGAGGTCTAAAATTTAATTAAAGCAATAAAAACAGACATAATAAAAAAGAACAAGGAATGAGTTAACCTCACTTATCAGAACTTGATCAAAGAAATTGAAATATTGTGCACACACTAAAATAAGGAAAATTAAAATATTGTGCTCTCCCACTGAGATAGGGGAAATTGAAATATTGTGTTCACCCACTAAAAAATTAAACCTGTATCAATGTATTATTAATACACGTATATTTTTTTCCTCAATCAAGTTATAAGGAGCGATAATCGATTTGTTCATTCTATGAGATTTTTGTTTTTTTTCTTTTACATTTTTTCTTCTTTTATGTTGCCAAGATGGAGAACGAATTAACCTCCAAAACAATAACAAAAACAAGGTTCTGTCTTCCAGGCTACCCATTTCCAACTTCACAACAATCTTTAACATAATAAAAATTTAACTTGAAGAATTAATCATGGCTGATATATTTTTCCAACTGACAAATTAAAAGACATGGTGATTAATAAAACAACCACACGCCCTCTGGAAAATTAACCAAAATATAAGGAAGAAGACACTTGTTTTTCAGGAAATATTTGTGCTTTCATTTCATAGAAACTCTGAATGATTATAATTCTTTAATGGCAAGTGTGTTAAGTTGGCAACAATCACCTCATAAAAAACAGAACAGACATTAAAAATATGTTTTTATTCTATTTCTTAGCATTTATGCAATTTTTTACAAATTACTTCAATATTTCAAAAAGCTTCTGTGTGATAACTGTGACAAATGACAAACTGGATTGATAGAAAAGAACATAAAAATAATAATTATGCATTTTGATGGTAGAAACTATAAAATATAACAGGTTTTCTGATAGAAAAGGCTGTTTACTTTTCTCAAATCTGATTTTAGTAAATAATTTCAAAAAATGCACTGATTGAACATGGTTTTAATTTGATTATTATAACTTACAAGATACTAACAATAACCCTAACCATAGTGGTTGTTGTTGCTGCCACTGTTATAACTTTTTCATATTTTATTCTATCTGCAATGGTAACTTTAGATTTTAGAAGCTTCAGGGAAGCAATTGTTTTTAATGTACTCTAAATAAATGTCTGTCCCAACTTGTTAATTTTGGGATTTTTTCCCAACCCCTTCTTCCACTCCCAGGAGCTCATTAGAACTCCTTTACTTATTAATTCTTGAATATTCATTGTTACCCTACTTAATAGATTGCAGTCATATCACATTGAAACACTGGTTCTTATGTGATCATCAAGGTGAAGCAATGTCAAGCCTGGTCAGATGTGTGCCCACTTGGAAATATCAGGTGCTGTAAACTTGGATGTGCAGGTGGTGTAATGGATAACCACTGAGGATTGGAAATCTGAGAGCCGAGTTCCTATTATTAGTTCATTATAGTCATTTATGTACAAATACCCTTGGCAAAGATATGAATTCACCTCTTCTCGTGCCAGCTATGAGTTAATTAGTAAAATTTTTATCAGTAAGTCATTATTATCTCAAAAGAATTCTTACAATCTAAAAATATTTTCTGGCTTTAAATAACCTGCACAAGCTTGATGAATCATAACAAAAACAAACAAATAAATTAATAGATTGTTGGAATTTTTTTTTTCTCTTTTTATTGTGGTGTAAAATCATTGCACTGTAAACTTCCTTTGAGTGAAATATCTTCTGTGTGTTCAATTCATTTAAACTCTAAAATCTATAAACATAACAATATTCAAAATGGACACGCAACAATTTGCATGTGCAACAAATGGAAAAATAAAGCTAACATTAGAAGGAAGAACCAGAACAATTTTGTAAATGTTATATTATTTATTTATTAGACTGAGTGAAATCATTGTGAACTCCATGATCCTTTCATTAGCTGTAGAATATGTGTTTCCTCAGGGATACATACAGTTTTAAATTCAGAGTTGTCCTTTGCCAAGACTGGTTGCTATCCAAGGATGAAACACCCAGTCTTCCCTACTATTTACTCATAGTTGGAGGTTTTGAATTCAGAATTGTCATTCTCCTAGGCTAGTTGCTTACCAAGGCTGAAGAGACCAGTCAACTCTACTATTTAACCTATAGACAAGAAGGAGAAAACGTGGATTCATAACTTTCCCAAGGTTATTTGTGCATAAGTGTATGTAACAAATTCAACTGGAATTCAATCTCTGCTCTCAGATTTCCAATTCCAAGCTGCTATCCATGACACCAACCTCACACCCTCAACCTTACAGCACCTAGTATTCCAAAGTGGTCACCCATCTAAGTACTGAATAGGTTTGATGTTGCTTAACTTCAGTGATTGGGTGAGAACTAGTGTTTCAAAGTGATATGGCTATAAGCTTGCAAATGATACAAACTTTATTTAAAGACATTGATGGACATTTATTTTTAATTTCATTCCTTTAAAGTCTTGTTATCATTTGAAACAGTTGTTTTTAATCCTTTTCTAACCCTACCCTTTTTATTACACCTCCCCATTTATTAATTTCTCATTTTTTTCAACCCCATTGTTTATTACCCAGCCTCATCATTTAGTAAATTTTTTTGTTTATTTCCCATTTATTAAAATTTATTATTCAGATCATTTGTGTTAATTCACCCCAAAATAAAAAGAATTTATATTTACTAAAATTCACACCAAATTCTCCCAGAACAAGTCCCTTCCATTGTACTCTGGTTAGGTTGGCGATCGCCCTAAATGTGGGCAACTTGAGTGTGCTATGTCTAAGTGTGAGTTTCACGTTCGTCCTCATCCTGGTAAACAAGCCAAAAACTGTTTTTTTTCTTCTTTTTTTTAAATTGTAAAAAATTCCTTGTAAGTACTTCAAATATCATCCCCACTTAGGAAATCAACTTACTGATTTTTGGTAATTTTTCATTCTGAGATTTGGAGTTGTTTTGAGGCAAGGTAAACAAATTTTGATTTAAAATTTATAATTTCAAAAGAGTTCCAAAAATTTAATAAACAAACAAACTTTGCTTTAAAATTTCTTGGGGTGAATTAATATAAGTAACTTTACATTATTTGGAATGAATTAACAGAAAAGATCCTATTGTTCTCTATTTATTAAACCCCATCTCTAAAAAAATATTTTGGTTCAAAGGCATTTTAACAGATGTGTGCCAAAATTGAAACAAATGTTACTCAGGGTGGATTGCTATACTTTGATGTGAAGGGTTTCCAAAATTTTTAATCCTTTTTTTGTTTCCTTCAGTTGGCTTGGCAGAATGTCATTTTAACATTGACCGAAAACTCCACAGATGAATTTATTCTGATTTTGCATTCTACAAAACAAAACAATCAAATTCCAATCTCAATTGACAGTGCAAAACTATTTACTAATGTTCCCATCAATATAGATATATTCCTTCTGGGATTAGATCTTAATCAGATAAAGAAACTAAAGCAAATCTTTGAAAGTAATTTGATATTAAGTTTTATAGACAAACTCACTATCAATATAAAATAGCCTTTAGAGCAACGAGCTACCTACATGAAAAGTTTGCACAAATGGATGACAGAACAGGGCAAAAGTAGAAAACTGCTAAGGGCCATAAGAGATAGGAAGTTGTGGAGAGCCATGATTGCCCATGTCCTGAAGGGACATGGCACATAGAAGAAGAATAAAAAAAAATGTACATAATAATTAATCCTCAACAAAAATATTGTGAACTGATTTTAGTGCAACCAGATGCAGTATAAAAAGCAAAAGAACAACCATCAAGCCATATAATAATTATTAATATGTATTTATTTATATATTTTCTGTCCCATCTGTAGTGGGAAAGGAGGTAAATCAGTAAATTTATGTGCGATTACTTCCCATATTCATTTTAATAATCTATAAAAATAAAATATTTATCTACATTTAGACAAAATTAGTTCCTGAGCAAAATGACCATTTAATCAGTTCCAACGTTTCTTAGAATATAATATTATTTGTACAAGCCTTTCATGCGAGGCACTCAGATCTCTTTGTCTATTAAGTGACTGTCTTGCTTCAACTTTGTCTTGAAATAAACTTTGTCACAGTTTTTGTCATTCTGTTGCTAATCTTTTTCTTCTGAGAGATATTTATCTTTCACTGTTATATTAAACAGAATTTTTAACATGAAAAGATATTGATCAAAAAACAATTTATATAATACCAGGAGTAATCAACAAATCATAGATACCATTGAACATCTAAAAAAAACCATAAAGGGAGCAGATTATGTAAGCAGTTCATTGGCCTCTATTTTAGTTGTGAATTTTTTATCTTTGCTTCATTGAATCTCAATTGAATTGTATAAATAATTACAACAACAGAAAAACTGTAAGAACATTATAAAAACATTAAAAAACTGATCAAATTTTTATTGTCTGTCATATTCAATGAAAAGATCGCTGCCCATATATATATATATATATATATATATATATATATATATATATATATATATATATATAAAAATAGTGCACAGTTAGTGCTGGCAATAATAAAATGGTACTCATTGTAAAATAACAGAGCTAAAACATACTAATAATAAATATATATTTTTCTTCACCGTTTGCTACAGCTCTGAGTTTCATGGACATAGCAATTATCAGACATTGTTTGAAAGTTCAGCACTGAAAAATTTAGGTTATAAATATAAATATTTGAATTTCATAAATAGCTGTTTTCAATCCATGCCTGGCAACTGCCATGTGCATGAAATTTGAGAGTTGTATTAAACAGTGAGAAAGAAAACATATATATATATATATATATATATATATATATATATATATATATATATATACCTATGTTTACAGTATGACTCAGAGTTTGATTGCATCTCTTTATTTAGATCATTTCTACATCTGTATGTATATATATATCAGATATTACTGATATGGATTCCTCAGCAAGTTGGCTTTTACAGGGTGAAGTTTGACCTAACTGCATTGAATCAATTACTCAAGAATTTCTTATTTTATTTATCATTCTTTAAAGCTGTTTAAGAGTTTTGGAAATCATGGTGGGGAAGAAAAATTTACAGGAATGTAAAACTTGTTGCTTAACTTCAACTCTTGGAGATTGTCTGTAAAATAACAAAGAAATTACATAAAGCTCACCTCAATTGATATGCTTTGTACCATTCTTGTTCCTTCTCAGCCACTAACTGTTTCCAGTTGTCTCCTGAAGTCAATGTCTTTGCCATTGTTTAATTCTAGTCAGAAATGTAGGGGAGTCTGGAAAAAAAAAATTCTATGAGGGTTAGTCAAAAAGTAATGCAATTTGTTTTATTATATAATACATAAGGAACACAATCAAACATATATCAAGATATAGCTATACATCACAGATTCATGTCCCTATTTCTGAATATAGCCACAACCTCTTTCAATGGTAGTGTTCCACCTACAAATGAGGGTATGTATTCCAGCTTTGTAAAACTCAGCTGGCTGATGATGTAATCAATTCCTTATGGAAGTTTCCATATCTTCATCACCACCATAGTGTTTGCTCCTCGGTGTCTCGTTCAGTGGATCAAAGAGAGGGAAGTCTGTGGGTGCTAAGTCAGGTATTGATGTAGAAATGAAGACTCATGTACATTAATCTGATTGTTTTAGACTGGCATGTTGATGTACATAAAATGGTAATGGTGATAGTAAGATTAGCTGCTCCCTTATAAGGAAACATTTGGCATTTGTTGGCTGAACAGTTAACATTAATATCTGCTGAAATTTTAAAACTTGAAACAGATTTCAGGAAAATAAGTTCCTCAAGTTCACTATTATCGCTCTTTCCCATATTAATAGGAGTTTCTTTCCTAGCTTTTTGTTTAAGGTAGTGTGGAAATTCACCATCTTGATTATATATCTTATATGTTACATGTGCTACTCATTATAGTTGTTGTTGTTTTTGTTATTTGATAAAATTCTTTGTTTGTGATTTTGTAACACCAGTCTATAAGATCTGATGAAAGATTGTCTTCTTTAAGGACTAGAGGATTGATGACATTTTTAATCATTGATATGAGATAGTGGTTGTCTAATAGCTGATGGTTTAAACATTTTTGAACGAGTTGCATAACATCCATATATGAGTCTAGATTTAACAAAATGACTTAAGTTCTTAGGTTAATGTTTCAGTATTGTAACATCTTGTGGTGTTGTGTGAAACTATCCTTAATGCAGTCTATTTTATGTTCAATTTCTTGAATGTTGGACTCTTCTTTTTGCTGACAACCATATAGTTTGTCTTCTCAACTAAAACTTGAATATTGGAAGGCCTGAGCAATTAAAATATGAATACTTTAAACAGAAGATGCCTCACCATGTGACACATTGCATTTTTAATGAAAGCTAATCAATTATGGTAACTCATGCTATGGTATAGTGGGCTGAAGCCTAGGGCCTCAAAATCTAGGGGTCCTCCAGCTAGGTGTATAATATTTTTGACACTGTCATTGGCCTTTGTTACACAAGCTGTATTGTAGACTCTAAACAACCCTTCAGTAATTTTCAAAATAATTCTGTCTTAAGCCGATAACTCAATGCAAGCATTGATTTCTTTATAAGTTTTTTAAAAATTTTAACATTCATGCATCACGTACTGTGTATTCTTTAGAGGAATAATTGTCAACTACAGAATTTTAAACACCTGTCATCATCCTCATCTTTACTCACATTGTTTAATCTAACACTCTTCCATTTTCCTCTACTCATGAGGATGCAGGATTTGGAGGGGCCTCACAAGTGGAATAGCCTAGGGCTGCCTAGTCAGGGGCCTTGTAGAGCATATATCACTTGAGTGCAATGGAAGAGGTCCATATAAGAAGAATATCATTTCCAGTGGAGTGCTGAACCTCCCTAAACTTCACCTTTAACTCAAATGGAGAGGTTTTAAATGTCAGGGACTTCTTTGTACAACATAAAGGTATCTTATTTACATTATTCGGACCATTGTCCTCATCTTTGTCACCATATTGTTGTATGCTCCAGCCTTCTTCAGGTGGTTGGAATGTCGAACTGAACACTTTATTTGTGGGGTAGACTGTTCTAGTTCCACGAACCATGTCTCATGGATGTCAGTTATTTCCCTCTGAAAGTTCTCCACTGCCTTAACTGGGTATTGAACTCACACTCTTTGGGTCCTGTCACTGGATCTAACTAACGCCTATATCCACTGTGCCATGTGTCCTTGGCATTTTTGAGGACATCTGTGTATGAATTTCTGGGTATTATAAACCTAATGTCTTCCACAACCATTTTACCAGTGCTCATATTGCAAATTTTGCTGTTATCATTTCATATTTTTACCAGAGCTCATATTGTAATTTTTGTTGTTATTATCACTTTTCTCTGGCACTCCTTATTACTGGTTCTCATATTGTATTCATTTCTATGCTTGGTCGGCTCAGGAGATTTTTGTGGCCTAGCATATGTGCTGATTCCTTAAGTGTTCAGTTTGACATTCCAACCACTTGAAGAAGGCCATAGAGTACTATGGCCAAAACGTTGTAATAAATATGGTGACAAAGATGAGGACAATAATTCAAATAATGTAAATAATGTACATAATACCTCATCTCAGAAATATAGACAGATAATAAAGGTATCTACTGATGACAGAAGAAGGAAAAAGTTATTACATGCAATTTTACCTGAGATAAATTTTCAAATTTGTGAATTAAGAAAGTTTATTAATTTTTGATGTGCTGGTAGCTTAGATATTGCAGAAATTAAAATTGGTGAGCTGAGAATGTCTTTTTGGGAAAGGCTATCACAGGTTACATAGCAAAGAAAACTACTCTTATAGCCTTGGATATGAATATATATATATATATATATATATATATATATATATATATATATATATATATATATATAGGACACCGCTGAATTTAAAAAAAGCATTGAACGCAAACGGGAAACCACTCTCCCAAGAAGACATGGCAATTTGTAGAAAGAAAGGAATGTGTGAAAATCTATGGTCGCCTTATCCTGGAAGAGGCATGGCATTCCATTATTTAAAAAAAAAAAAAAACGTTTTTTAAAATGTTGGATTTTTTAATTTTTTTTAGTGGTGTAATATTTTTTGCCTGATTTTTTTTTACTCTATTCGATGGATTAAAATTAGTTAATAATTACTAACTGAATTGAAAGTTTCTTTTTTTATTAAAAAAAAAGTAACAGCTCTCTCTCCTTTTTGGTGGAAATAAAATTGAGAAATAAACTATAAATTTTTTCCGCAATATTTTCAAATTTAAAAAAAGTGAAGTTTGTAAAATAAATGCAAACCGTTACATTTTCTTTATTTATTTTTTTACAGTTGTTAGTTTTATTTTTATTAAAAAGAAAAAATACTGTTAATAAAAACTTAAAAAGTTAGTTAAATTATGAAACGGTACAAAATAATTAAAATAACGATAATGTCTTTATTTTTAAAACTTTTAATGCAAATTGACAAATAACGATTTGTTTCAGTTTCATAATTCCCTGCTTTTAATTTTTTTTTTTAAATCGCGCCATAATTCAAAATTCACCTTTTCCCACCAAACCAAATGTCATTAATAATAATTAATATGAAACAAAATATTTATTTTTTTACCTTTTATGTCGTTTTCTTTAAAATAAATTCCTTTCTAACTGGCAACAGGATAAAAAGCATTTCTTTTTCAGCTGTTGTCGAAGAGAAAAGTAATGTTTTTTCTTGAGGAAAATCATGAATCTGCGTTTTTTGTTTTCAAAAATTCTTCTATTTTTCATTAATTAAATTTAAATATTTCTTAGCTAACGAAATTATAAATAACTCGCTTAATGAAATTTTTTTTATTCTCAAATTCTATAAATTCACATAATTAATAATAGAAATCTAAGTATCAACAAACATCAGTAACGAACGATTTTAAGACTGACTAAATTACAGGTTCAAGCATGTTTGAACACATTGGTAGCAAACAGAAAATATAGCATGTGACCTATTTTACCGTACGAGTGTCCGAAAGTGACACAAAATGAAAGTATATCGTGGGACAGATTTTCTCATATGTAGACTAACTAGAATAAATCAGTAGTGATGTTATTTGTAAATGAACGTAATCTATATAGTTTTTTGTTAGTATTGAAAGTAATAATTAAAATATAATGCAAATTAGTACCAATATATGAATAATGTATATATAATATTGAGGTAAATGGAATAACCTATCACCCCCGTGAGTGACTATGCTATAGGTAGTAACTACCTATAAGTATCTTTAAGTCAACGGACTACAGAATCTCGCTGGAATCTGTTCCAGCTGTGCTGGTGAAATTCTCTGCCTCCTTGGGGATCCCCAGATGAGGCTGTTTCGAAGGGCAGATTCTTGTCTCGAGAAACAGCTATCTGACCCCGTTTTATACAGGGAATTTTTGGCTGAGCCTACAGGCTTAGATACCCCACATTAAATTCGGCCCTGTGCCACATCTGATCACGTGGGGAGGTTAGTAAATACACTAGCTGGGATCTGTTGAGTATGACTCAGACTTATACGAGAACTACCGACCTTCCAAAAGTAGCACTCACTACAGGATTTACTTGCGACAACCTTGTGCATAACTGTTACCTTTATTCCTATTGTACTGGTTTTTACAATAAGCCTTTACTTATTTAATCCACTGTGTTTTTTAAGTATATATTCCTATTAGCACAGAATATAACAAATATATATTGTTAAAAGTTTTTGAATTATAATATTTTTGCAAAATGTTTTTTTAAAATCACATAATCAGTTTGAATAATATTTTTGTTTATAATTATCTCTAAAAAATCCCAAATATTTACTTTGTTAAAACTAGTTTAATCCATGATAAACAGCCATTAACACTAAAATCTTGATTATCACTAATTTTAAGAGCTAATTTCACATTAGTTTGATGTGAATTTGGCTATAAAATGCTAATGTAGGGATACAAAACATGTTTATCGCCTTTTCGTGATGATAAGTCATGTGGGTCACGTGACGGCCACTTTGTGACGTCACTCCACACAGTGACCAAAGCAGCAGCCAAATTCAGTTCATTCAAAGCAGCCACCAGATGAGGTTGCTTTCTTTTAGCCTGGGCCAAAAGGGTCAGGCTGAGGCCAAATCTGCCTCCCCAGCAGCTTACAAATCCATAGTGTCATTTCTCTTTGGTGAAAATGTCTTTCCTAGATATAGAATAAAACTCCAGC